TTCATGTATGATGTTCTTGACATCATCCCACAATTCTTCTGGTCTTTGGTCTTTAGTGTTCAATGTATGAAATCTGTTCTTCATATGATCTCTAAATTCAGGTGGGATATATTCAAGGTCATATTTAGGCTCCTGTGGACTTGTTTTCATTTTCTTCAGCTTCAGTTTGAATTTGCATATGAGTAATTAATGGTCTGTTCTGCAGTCTGCCCCTGGCCTTGTTTTCACTGATGATATGGAGCTTTTCCATCTTCTCTTTCTGCAGATATAGTCAATTTGATTTCTGTGTATTCCATATGGTGAGGTCCATGTGTATAGTCGTCTCTTATGCTGTCTACAGAAGGTATTTGAAATGAAAAAATCATTGGTTTTGCAGAATTCTGTCATGCGTTCTCCAGCATCATTTCTGTCACCAAGGCCATATTTTCCAACTACTGATCCTACCTCTTTGCTCCAAACCTTTGCATTCCAATCACCAGTAATGATCAATACATCTTGATTGCATGTTTGATTCATTTCAGATTGAAGAAGTTGGTAGAATTCTTCTATTTCATCCTCACTGGCTTTAATGGTTGGTGCATAAATTTGAATAATAGCGGTATTAACTGGGCTTCCCTGTAGGCCATGGATATTATTATCCTATCACAGTGCTGTACCTCATGACTGATCTGGATATGTTCTTTTTGACAATGAATGCAACACGATTCCTCCTCAATTTGTCATTTCCGGCATAGTAAACCATGTGGCTGTCAGATTCAAAATGGCCAACAGTAGTCCATTTCAGCTCACTAATGCCTAAGATATCAATGTTTATAAGTTCCATTTCATTTTTGATAACTTTCCGTTTTCCCAGATTCATACTTTGTACATTCCATGTTTTGATTTTCAGTGGATGTTTACAGCTGTTTCTCTTCATTTTGAGTTGTGCCCTATCCGCCAATGAAGGTCCTGTGGGCTTTTCTCCTATGGACTTTAGTCCTTTTGTGTCATCACGGTCAACTCTACTTTGAGGAGGCAGCTCTTCCCCAGTCGCATTTTGAGTGCCTTCCAACCTGAGGCATTTGTCTGTTAGTTTGTTGTACTGTGGTGGCTTGTGAAGTGCTATGATTCTGAAAGCTATGCCATCGTTATTTTAAATACCAGTAGGGTCACCCATGGTGGAGATGTTTCAGATGAGCTTCCAGACAAAGACAGAATAGGAAGAAAGAGTGACAAACTACTTCCAAATATTTAGTCACTGAAAACCTTATGAACAGCAGAGAATATGAGACAGTTTAGGCATTTACAAAAATTGAAATTATCAACCATTTAAAAATATACAAATGCATTTTCTCTTTATTGAAAATTTTATAGCACAAACCATTTGGAGATTGGAGACCAGAGAAATAATTTATAATTCCATCTTAATATTGCTATGATTAGAATCTCTCCTCGATCCTTTTGCTTATCCATATTTTTATTATAGATTTTAATCTTGGTGTGGTGGTGGTTGTGTTCTGTTAAGGTAGTTCCTACTCATATAGTGTTTCTGAGCTTTAAAATATTTTTGGAAGCAGACAGCCTCATCTTTCTCTCAAGGAGCAACTAGGGAGTTTGAACTGCCGACCTTGTGGTTAGTAGGCCAGTACTTATCTTATGACACCACCAGCAATACTCTATCTTTTCTTGTTGTTGTTGTTGTTAAGTGATGCTGAGTTGCTTCTAACTCATAGTGACCCAGTATAGGGTTTCTGAGGAGCTACTGGTGGATTTGAATGGCTGACCTTGAGGTTCCCAGTCCAGTGCTTTTCCTACAGCACCACACCAAGACTCCCATGTTGTTCTTGTTAAGTGCCATCAAGTCAGTTCTGACCCATAGAGACCCTGTATAGGGTTCCTGAGGAGTAGCTGGTGAGCTTGAACCGCCGACCTTGCAGTTCAAACCAACTTTGCAGTCCAGCACATTAACCCACAGTTTCACACCAAGGGTTTGCCACACTTAACAACACCAACATTATGAAGCAGGGCTTATGTCTAATCACACTGTATGTGATTGAGTGACTATTTACGTTGAATAGATCTAGTCTGGGTTTTGGCTAAAACACCATATTTTGGAGTTCTGAACGTACAAGCAAAGATAGTCATAATTTGCCCCATTAAGATCCCATGTCAGACATGGCTCACGAATCACAGCACATTTTTCTGCTGTGTCCAGACCCAACCTGACAATTCTCAATCCCTCTAGGTAGAGCTATCCATTAGTCATGTGCTAGAGGAAATCAAATAGATGGAGGCTAGTTGTTGTTTGTTGCTGTGGAGTTGATTCTGACTTGTGGTGAACCCACGTGTGCAAAGTAGGCATATACTCCATAGGGTTTCCAGGAAAAACCTTTCAGAAGTGGATTGCCAGACCTTTCCTCTTCAGCACTGTTGGGTGGGTTCTAACTGCTAACCTTTGGCTGGTAGTCCAATGTTTTACCATTTGTGCCATCCAGTTACCAATGACAGTGGAGGAAGTTCAGTATTACCTGCAGCATGTTTGGTAGTCTGTTCTTGGCTTTGACTTTGGGGTATTGGCTTCACTGCAGGTTTCAATGTTAATCATCTGGACATTGCACCCCGTTATGCCAGCATTCTCATGGGGATCTCAAATGGAGTGGGAACCCTCTCTGGAATGGTCTGTCCCCTCATTGTTGGGGCATTGACGAAGCACAAGGTAATGGTTTCCTTGGGGTCTGTGAGCTACGGTATCAAAAGACTACAGTTGTGCACACACTGCCTGAGATCTCAAGGCTCTTTGCAGCCTGTAACTATGGGAAGTGTACGTCCTTGACCTTGGCTGAGTCAATTGAAATTCTTTTTTATTTCTTTATTATTATTTCTCTAAATCATTGTTTATTGATGGTCTTGTTTAGTTCCCATTTCCTCAATTCAGACATAGAAGGTGGGGGAGGGAGGGAGGCTGGGAAAATGCCATAGAGACTAGAGATATAAAGAAACTGAAGCCATCAATTTAGTATAAAGGAATGACCCAAGATTGTTTTATAATTCTAAATGATTAAACTTTGTAGGTCATTTTCATTTAGTTAGTTAGTATGTTGTAGCATAAAAAATATTAATACTCTTGTACTTCCTTGTGCTGATGGAAATAAGCAAGAGATTCTTGTCCCTTTAAAAGAACCTACAAAGGTGTGGCACCCAATCTTTACTGAACCTTTGTATGTTTAGACTAGTGTGGGTGGTAGGGGAGGATCTCACAATCCAGAGTTCAGCCACATGCCATAGGACTCTCTCTGTTGCTGAAAGAGTTGCATGATGCTACTTTCTGCAATGAGATTTTTTAGAAGAAATTTAAAAACCAATTTTAAAAATCTTGATATTATTTTCCTAGTTGTATTAATGATTGCAAGCATGACTTCAGAAATTCTTAACAGCTTTTTTTCAAATGAATGTATGGGGTGATTTTTCTTACTCAATCAGAAAAAGTATTTTGTTTTTCCTTTGTTTATGATTGTTTATAGGATTGGTAGCATGACTAGTAAATACAAGATACTCTTCTTTCCCTAACTTTGTACTCAAATTCCAAGTTTTAAAATTTACTGTATATACTAAGAAAATATGATTACAAACAAGCCAGACAAGACTAAACATTTTAATGGTTTAAATAATGTGATGTATGCAGCAGCAGGTAATAATGATATTTAAAATGACAGGTTCCTAGAGCAAATTTAATTCAATCTATTACTTGAGAAGAAATCCATTTGAATATTTAGAAGAACTTTATAATAATGCTACATGTATTGTCACATGTTCTTTAATTTTAAAAGTATTTTTTTTAATCTAAAAATGAATATTCATTGGAGTCTTCCAACTTTTCATTTTTAAACACTCAAATTCTGACACATTTATGGATCCTGCATAGTTTCTTTTCAGGAATCCCAGCATTACCTTTGAAGTGGGTATGTGTCCTTTTCCTAGTGGAAGCCTCTAGACCATACAGCTAACCTTTACTTTGTGGTTAAACCTTTCATTGGTGCTTTACTTCCTTGTGTAGACCCGGGAGGAATGGCAGAATGTCTTCGTCATAGCTGCCATGGTACACTACAGTGGTGTCATCTTCTATGGGGTCTTTGCTTCTGGGGAGAAACAAGACTGGGCTGACCCTGAGAATCTCTCTGAGGAGAAATGTGGAATCCTTGACCAGGATGAATTAGCTGAGGAGACAGAACTCCACCACGAGAGTTTTTCGAGTCCCAAAAAGAAGATGTCTTATGGGGCTACTGCTCAGAATTGTGAAGTCCAGAAGAAAGAGTGGAGAGGGCAAAGAGGAGAGACTCTTGATGAGGGAGACCTGACATCCTACCAGAAGGAAGAAGGACGTTTCCCAGATATACCCTAATGTCTGAGGGGTACTTCATCTTCTCCTCACTGTTGAACCAGAAAGTATCCATACCAATTGCCTTTTTCATGGTTGGGCTTTGGTGAGGGCCAAATATGGGAACATTCAATATAGACAGGAGGAGAGGGAAGAGAAATCAGCAATAGAAAAAAGAGAAAAAAAAATATCTTGCCATGACATTTATGGGTATGAAATTTGATCTCAGTTGATAACATTTGTTAGGTTTTTTTAATTGGCATTTGACCCATTTCTTGAAGAGCTGAATTTATTCAGAAAGAAATAAACAGAAAACATGGGAGACAATACCATATTGTTTAAAGAAACAATGCCTTCCTATAGTTACCACCTCGTCTCTAGTGCAGCCATGTGCCTGAGGGTTTCATGTTCCTAATAAAGGCTGTTGCTCATGGAAGGCCCATTTTGTGGCAGGTGCTTTATAAATTAAATATTCTTATTAACTCTTCACATTCCTATAAGTTACATTTCTTATCCCTATTTAACAACTGAGGAAACTGAAACAACAAGGGATTAATTTGCCCATGAGTGTGCTTCTAAGGCCAGTGCAGTTTTGGGAAGGGAGATTTCAGCTCAGTGTACACAACTTTGTAACAGTGAATTATGTCTGAAATTGGAATATTATGTCTTCTGGGTAACTCCCCATTTTGGTAGAGGTCTGAGATAGGAAGGCATTTGAACTGATGTTGCAAAGGGGAGTCAAACATTTTATGAAGGACTGAATTAAAACACATAGGGTTCTATATGATACCAAAGGTCAAATGAATCTATGAATTTATAGTTTTTTAAGATAAGAAAAGGTCACAGACTAGATGAGAGATTCAAATATTTAAAAAGAAAAAGTTAATTGAGAAAGCCAAATTTTCAGTAATCCAAGGGATTCCTGGTGTAGTGCTATAGGATAAGCACTGTACTGCTGACTGCAAGATTGGCAGTTCAATCCCACCTGCTGCTCCTTGGAAACCCTATACAGGGTCTCTGTGAGTTAGAACTGACTCAGACAGAACTTAACTTAAGGGTCAGAAAGATTGGGGAGAAATTAACAAGGGCAAGAATTTAAATTTAATTCTTCATTATACCAAGAATGTGGTTAAATAATGTCTCAAATTATTTGTAAGTCTTTAAAACATTTACTAATTTAAGAAGTATGCTCATGAACTATAATGGTTAAAATTCTTCTGAAAGAGTATTAAAACAACAACTAAATATGTCTTCAGATTTTTCTACTAGTGATTATACTTGGGAAGCTTGATCAAATTATAAAATACTGGTGGTGGGGGTTGTGTGCCACCAAGTCTATTCTGACTCCCAGTGACCCTGTATAGGGTTTCTGAGGCTGTAAATCTTTATGGGAGCAGCTGGTGGAGTCACACTGCTGACCTTTTGGTTAACAGTCTTGCTCGTAATATACTGCACAACCAGGGCTTTAGGATGAAAACATTCCTGTTGATTAGATTGGGAATAATATTCAGGGAAATCACAATAATGTGGCAGTAGTTACACAGGACTTCTGGTGTGGTGTTGTAGAATCAGCACTGGACTGCAAACCCCAAGGTTGGCACTTCAAACCCACCATCTACTCCTTGGAATCAGAACCCACTCGACGGCACTTAACAACATCACCACCAAGAGTTATACAGGGAATTACTAGGATGAACACATCTGGCGCAACTTGATTCATAGATAATGTTGCAAAATTTAATTTTTGATTGCATAAGGCAATAACATGGATACTTTCAAGATATATTTAAGAACTTAATGTTGGCATGTAAAAGGATCATTTGAAAATAAAATTATTTTTCTGTCATTGTTTTTGAAAATTTTATTTCTACTTTCAGAAGAAAAATGTAATATCATAGATAAAATACTATAGATTGACTTGTAGTTTATTAATATAAAGCATTCCCATCCCCCCATGTGTATTTCTAATCCTTGGTTGTAACAGATGAGTTATAGTATATTTTATACAAAGAATAACTTTTGAAAAAATAAAGTTTCCAGACTCTCCATTAAATAATATTCCTTATTCATTAGTATGCAATTTATATTATCAGACATCTTAAATCTCTATGAGTGAATCCATGTAAATGCCCTAGAACATTGCCTGAAATGTCAAAAGTGCTCAATAACTACTAGGATCATTATCATCTCCCAAACTTGTCTGAACTTTCCAGTTGAAAAGAAAGTATGTGTGTCATTTTCACCTATTAAACACAGAATTTATTGTGAAAGTTGTGCTGTTTTCAAAGTAAACAGAAAATTAGAAATTATGATAGTAGATGTTTCTTTTTTCCTCTTGTTAATAAAGTCAAATAATTATTAAAATTTCACAGTAATCCTTAAGGTATTATTATAAACTGTGACACAAATTGTATTGACTTCATAATTAAAAGATGATGCTATATGCAAAAATTCCACATTTTGATAAATCAAATTATTTAGGGGATCCATAACTTACCGTCACAATTTTTTTTTTTTTTAATGGTTCTCTAGAGTATGGCATATATAATTAGGAAACAAATTATTCTGGTGTGATGGGTTTTGATCTGAGAAAGTTGGTTGGCCAGATAAACATACTCGAACACCAGGCAAATGCAGTTTGCAAGTGCGAGCACATCTTATGTAAGTTTGTAGAGCAACCCTGTAAGGCACATCATGGACTCTAGCATGGCAGGATAGAGACACGTGCGGCTGAATTCTTGAGACCAGCTTCCTAGGACTGTCATAACAAAATACAAAAATGTGGGTGGGTTTTAAAGATCAGAAGTATATTGTCTCACAGGATTGGAGGGTAGAGATCTGAACTCAGGGTATCAACAGGTCTTTTCTTTAAGTGGTGGTGGTGATGTGCTGTGGAATCGGTTCCGACTCATAGTGACCCTGTACAGGGTTTCCAAGGCTGTAAATCTTTATGGGAGAAGAAAGCCTCATCTTTCTCTTATGGAACAGTTGGTAGTTTCGAACTGCTGCCCGATTCGTAACCCCAACCCCAGACATTTCTTGGTGTTCCTTGGCTTTTAGCTGCATCTTCATAGTGTCCCCTTCTGTGTGACCCTGTCTTCATGTGTATTTCCCTTGCATACGATATTCCTTTGATGGAATTAGGTCCCAATATTGCCTGATCATATCTTCAAAGAAAAACCCTAAATTCAAACAAGGTCACATTCACTAGAGGTTAGGACTTCAACATACCCTTTCTGGGGACACCATTCAATCCATGGAGTCCTGGTGTGTCACTGTGAGTTAATGTGCCAGAATGCAAAGCTGTTTGAACTGTAAGGTCAGTGGTTCAATCTCACCAGCTGCTCCTTGGAAACCCTATAGGTCTCTATGGATTGGACCCTACTCAACAGCACTTCACAAAAATTCAATCCATAATACTAGTCTCCTCCAAAAAATGTTCTGGAGACTACTGAATATAACAAAAAAAAAAAATTTTTTTTTCAAGAAATACTAATTTCTTCCCTGTGCCTGTATGTTAAATTCAATAAGTTGAAATCAAAACCTACTATTTCTAGTTCACACCACCTTACCCTAACCACGAAACTATTCTTCCTCCTTTCCTTTCTTATCTCTGATCACATCATTCTTTTCTCAAGCTAAAGGACGTCCTCTTTGACTTTTCTTTTTAGTCTCCTACCCTCTTTTCATTACCTAGTCCATTTAATTTTATTTTCAATCCATGGATCAATATCTTGCATCTATTCTGGAAAATCCTCAGTTTCTCTTAGAGATTGCTTCTGCTCCATTCTTCCTTTGCTTTCTTTCTAAATGTCCATTAAATGTATGCTGGACGATAAGTGCTGAACAGCTGACTCCAAGGTTGGCAGTTCAAACCCACCAGCTGCTCCTCGGAAACCCTACAGGGCCACTACTTAACAACAAGGAGACTGCCTGTGTGTATATTTCTGACCTCCTTTTTGATCTGATACTTTCCAGTCTTTGTCTTCTTCATATGCCATTACAGATATCTTCTTTTCACTTATTTTTTAGTTATTTATCTCTCTTCAACAAATTCTAAACCAAAATCCCACTGCCATTGAGTTAATTCCAATTCCTAGTGGCTCTGTAGCACAGATTAGAATGGTCCCATAGGCTTTCCAAGGCTGTACATCTTTATGAAGCAGACTGCCATGTCTTTCTCAGAGCAGCTGGTGGGTTCTAATGATCGGCCTCTTGGGAAGCAGCTGAGTGCTTTAACCATGGTGCCATCTGTGCTCCTTCTAACAGAAACCCATTCAGTGTGCTTTTAATTCAGTTATTGCTTTTTAGTTCTAGATTTTTTATTTATTCTTTTTAATTCTCCAATGTCTTAAAAATATTACCAATTCTCAGCTGAATTTTTCTGTATTTTATTTTCTTGAACATGGTAAGATATTAAAGTCTGTCACTGCCAGGATCTGGAGACCTTATAATTCTGTTTCTATTCTCGGTTGTTTTTGTTAGATCTTGTTCATATCATTTTATCTTCATCTGTGCCTGGATTTATTTGATTGTGTCAGACAATGTATTGGAAAAATTGTTCATAGAAATAATTGAGGCTTAAAAGAATGCTTTTTTCCTCTCACCATCAGGAGTGGAATTTTGTTTGCTTCTTCCAGGACACCTAGTACATTAACAGTCGGGACTCTCCTAAACCAGTTTCTCCAAGTTGAGATTTGTGGGGCCACCCAGATGATTTGAAGTCGAGCTACAGGCTGGATGAGGCCTGCTTTACTTTCAGTTCACCCTTACTCCTAGGTAGATAGAATTTGGGGGTTCCAATCCACGCTATTGTGATTTTACCAACATCCTCTCCTTTGATGAACTTTGGGCTCCAATATTATTCTCCTACCAAGCCTCCAAACACTATGTTCAGATCATCAAAATGCTGGCTGTATTAGAATGAACCAATGCTTCTAGGAGAAAATGACCTGAAAAGTATCAGGCTTACCTCATCTTCTCCTAAATGGTCAGATGGGAGCTTAGGAATTCTTCACTACCCT